GTCCCCGGCGGGGTAAGTGCGGGCGCCGGGAGGCGGGGAAGCGCGCGTCTCTTGCCTGGTGACCGCGTGCCCGGGGCATCCCCCCAACTTTAGCGCGGTGACCCCTGTTCCCACCACAGACTGCGGTTAACGGGGCCGCGAGCAGCCCCCCGGCTTCATCTGGTGGCCCCTGTCTCGTGGGCGCAGTGCGGGTGATGGGTGAGGCCCTGGGCGCCCACCCCGGTTTTCAGCGGGTGCCCTCGGCCCCGGGGGCCGCGGGGATGGGGCCGAGGCTCCGAGGACTGTCGGGGACGGGCGGTCGGGACCCCTGGGCGGGGCTGGCGGCTGGAGAAACCCAGCCGGCTGAAGCTGCGTGGGGGGAGCTGGGTGTTTTCGTGGGGAGCGGTCGTTTGTCTTTCCCTGTGAGGGCGAAGGTCCGCTGTAGGGGGAGGTAATTCCCACCCGAGAAACCCGTGCGGGTCTCCCTCCGGGGAACCGCCTCCGCCGCAGAGGCCGAAGCAGGTGGGCGGCCACTCGCTGGTCAGCAGGCGCTGACCTCTCCCCGCCCGGACCCTCTCCCTCTGTGCGACCCCAGGTGCTGGAGCAGGAGTCTGAGCGCACGGCCTGGCTTTTACTGGGACGCCAGTGTCCGCAGGCGGCGGCTGGCGCGTTTGGTGCCGCGGCTGCTGGAGGGAAAGGCCTCACCTGGCGGCGGCCGGCAGAGCCGCGTTTCCTGCGGGGGCCGCTCAGTGTCCCTCCAGGTAGAACGTGGGAAGAGGTAACATTTTCACGGCTCCTTTACTGCCTAAAATATATTTTGAACACCTCTTTTATAGGAAATAACTCGTATTAGAAAAGAAAGGTGAGATGAACTTGGTGTATTTTAAAATATAATTTGCCTCCTGCGCGCTCGCCGCGTTTGCTCGCTCGGCCCTGGGATGTTATTTAGCGGCCATTACCTGCAGGCAGGTGCACAGCGACCGTATGGTCAGGTGTAGACCCTGGCGACCCCTCGGTCGGTCATTGGTTGCAGCTGCTGTTGCCCAGCTGATTGGTGCTCCATCGGAGGAGTCGAGACAGTTATGGAAGAAGTAAAATCCAAAGTTACTCGGAATAGCTTTTCGTCGTATAAGACTGGCTGACTTTCTAGTTTTACCAATTTCATCACGTTGATATTTCGAGATGCACATTTTCTCCGGAGTGTTTTGTTTCTGTGGTGAAATTAGGGGAGAGGCTTTGGGAATTCTGGACAGAGGCCCCCTGCTGGGGCTCAGCGCTGCGGAGCCGCCGAGCCCCGATTGAGTTCGGGCTGTGCCCCTCACACCAGTTATCTCACAGAACTTCGGTTTCCTGGAAAAATTGCTGGAAGGCAATTGTATGAAAAGGCTCCTAACCTAAAAATGTTCTGCGTAAGTTAGAGCAACATGAAAACGCAGTTATTTTGGCCAGACTGCTCTGCGAATCGTTTTGGAAAACGTTATTGTAAAAATCTAGAAACCCTGTTGTCTAATACATTATTCTTTTATCGCACGAGTCTTCGTGAAAATGCCGCAGTGAAAAACCCCGATCTCGAGATAGTGAGCACGTGAGTGTTCAGTTCACACATTGCAGTTTGCACAGGTAGAAAGGTAAGGGGAGCGGAATGGGGCAGGCGGGAACGCAGGTGTGACGCATGCCTGAGGGGGATTCCAGCCCTCCGGTACGCCTCCTGGAAGTGTAATTTTGGAAGGATGAGAGGGGATGCTCTGGGAGCTTTGCAGGAGAGAGGGGAGTTCCAGGTCTAGGGAAACTTGGCAGGGTCCCAGAGATGAGGCCATGATTTCGGTCTGCAGGGGGTGGAGCTGGGCCAGATCCAGAGGGTGGCTGTGCTTCCTGTCACGGGGTGGCCGTGAGTGGCCCTGCCCGGGGACAGGTGAGGAGCGGGTGCGTAGCTGGCCAAGGACCCTCTCACCTGCCGCCAGCCCCTCCCATCACACCCCTCACAGTCTCCTCTCCCAAATCCCAGGTCAGCCTTTCCACAGTGGCCAGGCCTAGAGCTTTGTGTCCCGTCTTTATTTGCGTCTGTACGTGAATTTTCAAAATGACCCCTCATTTCATAAGAACGGCCAGGCCCAGGCACGAGTGCCATTCTGCTCCCTGCTCTTCTCTCTGTCACTGCAGGAGCGCACACCTGCTGATAGAAGGGGCCGCCTGTGGGTTGTGCGTGTTTTATATTTTTAGTTAAGAATGTGTAAAAGACTTTTTAAAATATTAAAAATTTTTTTTTTAGGTTTAAAGCTTTTCTCTTCCACGAACCACTTTCTGGTACTAGAAATGACCTTCTAAAGTAAAATGCCTTTTCCTGCTGCCACAGGCCTGCCGTGGCCGTGGAAAAGGGGGCGTGGGCACGGCCGCGCCTCCAGTCGTGTCAGGCCTGAGTGACGGGCTGTGCTCCTGGAGATGAGCCGGCCGCTGGCCCCCCACTGGGCTGCCCCTTGGCGGCACAGTCTAAGCTCAGGATCTCAACTCAGTGAGTCACTCGGGATTCTGGGGAATTTATGAGGAAAACAAAGGAATGAATTCTCTGTACACTGATAACTGTGCAGGAGGCCTCAGCGCCTCCAGGGCACAGGCTGCTATTTTAAAGAAAGCAATGTGGACGTTCAGACCCCAGTGTCAATTACGTGCATGATTTTCGAACTCCTGTGCTCCTGGTGTGGACAACGAAAGCTGACTAGACAAGAGAGGCCGAGGAATTTTGTGTTGATGGAAGTGCTGTGCACAGTTACTGTTTTGGTCTGTTATTTGCCTTATTTCCCTGACAGGAAGAGTAGGGACTCCAGCCAGGTTTCTGATGGCCAGGACCCTGAGAGAGTGAATTGGAATAGGAGTATTTGCGCTAATGCGAAGGAAGCTGCAGGCTGGGGTTGGAAGGATGTAGTCAGGTTCCAGCGCCAGGAGGCACAGGAGGCGCATCGGCCAGGCTCTGCCTTACTTCGGCCTGAGAGTGCTGGGCGCATGCTGAGCTGACAGGATGGAGTTCCTGTGGGGTCTGTGTGGGCTCGGCCCAGGGATTCGAGAATTCACAATGAGCATGTTTCAGAGGCCAGAGGACCTTTGCTCTAGGTCTAGGTGCTGAGCTGTGGTGGAAAGAATCCCGTGTGCCGCCTTACTCACCCTGCAAGCAGGTCTGAGCCTGGCCCTCGCAGTCAGGTCAGGCAGCTGCTGGGTGATGGGCCAGGTGAGTGCTGAGCGGCAGGCAGAGTGGAATGGGATCGCTCTGTCCCTCGGTGGCTGATCCCAGAGGGCCTCCCAGCTCCCCGGGACTTGAAGCAGCGTGTGCTGTGCCCTCTGTAAGTGCCAAACTAGCGGGCCTCCAGTTAACTAGGTGACCGCAACTCGAGGGGTGGCTGGCATCCAGGTGTGTGGCTCAGGACTCCAGAGCCTGCCCCTCTTGTGCAAGGAGGGAACTGTAGACGGGCCTCTGGCCGAGGCAGGCCTGTGGCGGGTGGAGTGAGGGCTGAGATGTCTGTGCTTTCCCCACTGTGTGACCCACCCGGGATCTCTGGAGATCTGGGAAGGTGTTTGCCCTGCACGGTGTGGCTTCCAGAGCAGACTGTGCTGTTCACCCCATTGCTCTGCTGGGAGCCGAGGCAGGTGTAGCCCTGGAAACAGGGAACCGCTGGTCTCCGTGACAGCAGCGAGGGACCCACCTTGTCATGATATAGCTGGTGTCACACACGTGCTCTGACTCGGTTGCCCTGCGAGCACGTGGGGAAACGAGAAATGCAGAAAAGAGAGAAAACAGAGCAGACGTGCAGAGATCAGTTTAAGAGAGCGGCCAGCCTTGGTCTTAATCCTGGACAATCAGTTCTTCACTCAGACCCTGAAGTGTTGGCTGGAGGAAGAGGAGGACACACGCGTACCCCCCTGTTCCTGTCCCCTCAGCCTGTGGTCTGGAGGGAGAGAGGAGACCTGGGTGCTGGGCGGGGAGAGTCCGGCGTGGACACAGTGGCAGAAGTCGAGCCCTGGCTGCGCTCAGTGAAGGCAGACACAGGGGACTCTGTCGGGTTTTGCTCCAGGTTATTTACGGGAGGTTTTCCCGTCCTTGTGACTAGTAGGCGCTGAGCTCTTTCCTTGCATCTGTGACTGGGAACCAGCGTCTCCCCCAGGCACTGTCCCTGGGGCTCCCCATGGGCTGAGGGCAGCTCCCCCACCTGCCCCTGAGAGCCTCTCTCCTCCCGCAGGGCTGCCCAGGGCCGAGGCTTCCGGAGCCGCATCATGGACCCACTGGAGCCGCCTGTCCCTCCTGCCCCCAGTGCAGAAGGTAAGGACCATGCCTTGCTGGAGGTGTCTGAGTGGGTGATGGTGATGGTGACAGTGATAGTGACGGTGATGGTGACTTGGGCGGTAATGGTGACAGTGATAGTGACGGTGATCGTGACGGTGATCGTGACTGTGGTGCTGGTGGTGACTGACGGTGATTGTGACAGTGATGATGATGGTGACTGTGGCAGTGATAGTGACTGAGGCGGTGACAGTGATGGTGATGGTGACAGTGGCAGTGATTGTGAGGGTGATGAGCTTTTTTCACAGGGACTTCATGCTCTTGGAATCATTAAGCTGCTGGCACCTGGGCTGTGACTGGGATGGGCCCCTCATCCAGAAGGGCAGGGTCCGACCGAAGACCCTGTGGATATGGAGCTCTGGTGCCCCTCACTTTGAGGGTGTCCTGACTGAGCCCTTTCTGTCCCCCCAAAAGCCCAAGTGGAGGGGTTGGTGAGGAAGGGCGGCCGTCCTAGGGTAGAGACTTGACCTAGGCGTCCCCAACTGGCCGAGCTCCTGCCTGCGGCCTCTCCAGGCCCCTGCAGGTCAGGAGGTTTCCATTTTTGCTTCCTTCCTCGGGACTCCCACCTTCTCTGTTCAGCTGCTTCATACGAGGACTGAGGGAGGGGCTTGGCTGCACACACCTATGGGGAAAAGTGGGCTCCCCAGTTCTCCCCAGGGCCTGCTCCTGGGTTTCCTGTCACCCGAGTGTCGGCCGGACCACATGTGCAGACAGCTGTCTGTCCTCTGCAGACCCGAGGCTCTGGGATGGGAGGCTCAGTGCATGCGCTTCACCGATGTGTTTTTTACAAACTGGAGGCCAGACCCTCCCCCAGCAGAAAAATAACCACTCACTTTGTCATGACCCTCGTCACTGTGGGGTCTGGAAACAACTCCGGGGCATCTGCAGGTTTGGCCTGTGTTTGGGACAGAGGGAAGCTCCAGCGGTAAGAGGGGAGAGATGCTGTCTCCTCCTGGGACTCTGAGGCAGGAGGAGTGACAGACCAGAGAGTGAGGACCGTGGTGAGGGCCCCTAGAAACAGCAGTGACGTGATTACATGTTGACAGTCTCTGCGACACGTCCCCAACCGGGGCCTGTGTGGGTGTGAGACGACCAGGGTCCATGTAGATGTGGAGTGACCAGGGTCCGTGTGGGTGTGAGGTGAGACCCAAGCCAGTGGGACCCAAGTGAGCGATGCCTCCTGCAGGGAGCCCAGCTGTCCCAAGGGAGGGAGGCCAGGCTCTGCGCTTTCTGCTTCCAGGGCATGGCGGTCAGCTCACCTGTGTGGGCCATGGCCTGTGGGGCCTGGACACCTGTGGGGCCTGGGCAGCCTGTGGGGCCTGGACACCTGTGGGGCCTGGATGTACTGTGGGGCCTTGTGAGGGTTCGCGCTGTGTGTGTCCTTGCCTCAGGTTTCATCCCTGCGCATGTTGCTGCTGTGAGGGTTTCTGGGCCAGATCTGACTTTGATTGTTATAATTGAAAGTGAGACAGACCACCACTGCTTCCACCGTCCACCCCATCGAACGCGGTGATGCCCAAACAACACTTGGACCTTGTGTCCTCCTGCAATCTTGCCAGTGACTTCCCCAAGCACAGCTCTGGGGCCTGGACCCTCCCACTGCTGCGTGAGCTCTGAGACCCGTGGGGAGCGTGTGGCGGGGCTGGAGGCCGCGGAAGCGGCAGGCGAATGGCATTCACATCTGCCCCAGCTCTTCCTTGCTCAGTGTGCTGTGGGGGCTGCTTGCCCTCTGGGGGCACCTTTGAAGTGTCACATCTGAGAGGTTTATTTCCGGCTCTCAGTTCTGTCCCGTTGCTGTGTGTGTCACTCCATGTAATGCTGGTACCCGGGCAAGCAGTCACCACACACCTGTAACTCAGCAGGGAGCGCAGACCCAGGTGAGGACGGCAGCGGGAGGGGAGCCGAGCCCCAGGGAGTGGCCTGGGGGGGGCATTGTTCTGGGAGACAGCTCCGTTCAGCACAGGCACCTGCCACCCAGTGACACCCAGAGCCAGGAGGAGACCGGGAAAGGCTGTGAGCAGCCCCTTGTTGGAGGAGCCGTGGGCAGCTGCCGCCTCTTACAGTCCTACTTCTTTGTTTTGTTTTAAACAATAAAAGAATGAAGAACAGCCTTAATCAGAAGTAAGAGAAACATCGTGTCTTGGATAAAACTTTCATATTATAATTAACTATTGCCTTTTAGGCCTCAGGAACAAAATGTGTAACTTTTATCTCTGAACTTAAACATAAGATTCTCTTATTCCGTTCTCACTATGTGAACCTGCTGCGTGTCTCTAAAGGCTGTTAGTGGGTTTGAGCAGTTCTGGCGGGTTGTCTGCACACAGGGAGGGTGGCCTGTCCCTCACCCCTGAGCCCCGCTGCCAGCTCTCCATCCCGGGGCCCAGGGCCAGCCGGTCCCTCAGATAGCACTTCGGTGAGAGCAAGTGGGCTGAGCGACTGGACCCCACCCGTTAGGGTGGCTGCACAGTGTCAGGGCCCTGTCACCCTGGGAGTTACGCCCGGCTCCCTCGCAGCTGGCGGGAATGCAGAATGGTGCCACGTCTTTGGGGGGCAGTTTAGTTTCTTTGAAAACTAAACATCACATCCTCTTACCAACGACCCAGCAATCACACATCGTGGTGTTTACCCAAATGAGCTGAAAACTGATGTCACACAATAGCCTGCATATGGACGTTCATAGCAGCTTTATTCATAACTGCCCAAACTTGGAAGCTACCAAGATGTCCTTCAGTAAGTGATGGATAAACAAACTGTGGTCCATCTGGGCAATGGAATATTATTCAGCACTAAAAAGAAATGAGCTATGAAGCCATTAAAAGATGTGGAGGAACCTGAAATGCATGTGACTAAGTGGCAGAAGCCAGTCTGAAAGGCTACACACTGTGTGACTCCAACTCTGTGACATCCTGGAAAGGACAAAACTGCGGAGACAGGTGACAGATCAGTGGTTGCCATGGGGTTGGGGGGAGGGACGAACAGGAGGAGCCCAGAGGGTTTAGGGCAGTGGATCTACTCTGTGTGGTACTATCGTGATGGACACAGGTCATCGTACAATTGTCCAAGCCCACAGGATGTACAACACGGAGCGACCCTGATGTACACTGTGGACTCTGGGTGAGGATGACATGTCAGTGCAGGTCCATCAGTGGTGACAAATGTCCCACCTGGTGGGGTGTTGCCAATGGGGAAGGCTGTGCATGTTGGGGGCAAAGGGATGTGGGAAATCTCTGTGCCTTTATCTCAGTTTTGCTGGGAACCTAGAACTGCTCTAAAAAATGAAGTTCTATTAAAAACAACGACTAAATACATTGTGTAGATAATATGAGTGGAGTCATTTTAACGTGGAGCTGGAGCTGCTCTCCCAGGGGAACTGCCCTGCAGGTCTGATGCCTCAAACCTTGGGAGGTTAGAACTCGGGAAAGTAACCTTTGGGTTGGACCCAAGGCAACATTGTGTCCCATAGAACTGCTGGCCAAGGTAACAAGAAAGCAGAGATGACGAGTATTGGACAGATGGTTACTGGACCGAGAATGAGAAACAATGTTTAGAGTCAGCGTCACTGTGTCCTGCTATCTGCGCCCATAGCAACGCCTTCCTGCTCTGGATGGCACTGCCCCCTTCCCCGCCTCATAAATACCCACCGCCTTTGTCTCCTCATCAGAACACGGTTGGGCTCCTGCCTGAATCGGTGCTTCCCGTATAGCTGTTCTTATTGATGTGAAATAAACGCCGTTGCCTCTCACTTTGGAAGGCCTCTTATTTTTAGGCGAGCGTGAGTCTCAGTCTAGACCCCGTCTCCCAGGCACAGGAGAGGGAGCCTGGCGGGGTGTGTTCACGGGGGCTGTGTTCTCTGAGATTCAGGCCCGCGAGGCTCAGTGTGGAAGACTAGGCACAGCGTCTCTGTAGACTTGAGTTCCTTTGTCACGCTGGCCTCCCGGAGCTCAGAGCCCCACAGGGCGTATGCCATGGTGGGAGCCTGGGAAGTCAGCATGGGCGGGCACAGTCTAGCTCTTGGGGTGTCGCCGCCAGGACATGGGTGCAGAGAGGCAGCTTATTTTCTGGGACTGAATTCTAGGACGCAGCTGTGATGCGCATCACGCTCCGGGGTGTATGAAACACGCTGGCAGGGCGGAGAGGCGCTGCCCACAGCTTCTGAAGTCACTGTCTGAGCATCACCCAGGCTGTCCAGGTACCTGAGCACCTCAGGCACTGTGCCTGGCTGCTCAGTTTAGACTTAACCCTTTGGAGGAATTTCTTCATTGCTTTTATTTCATTCTGCTGATTGGGATTCTTCTTCAGTTCTATTGGGGGGAAAATGAGTGTGCTTGGTGGGAAAATGTTTGAAGCCACTCATCTGCTGATCCCTCACTCGCCCATTCTGCACACTATCCCGTGGGGAATGGCTGGCAGGCCAGTCTCGCCCCGAGGGCTGTGTGACCAGTGGCAAGTGGACACCTGTCCTCAGTAGCGTGTGCCCTCCCAGGTGTGACCCCCAGAGTTCCTTGGCAGGGTTGCTGTCCCCATTTTGGGGGGAAGGGGAGGAGGGCACCTGCCTGTCCCTGTACAGACCCGAGGACACTGGACACAGTCACTGTTCCCTTCAAGGGGGAGCCTATGTTTTAGGTCCTGAAGTTCAGGCTTCGTTGTGTCCCCTCACAAGTATTTAGGAGCCTGTTTTGTGCCACATGTTTTATTTATTTAAAAAAAAAAAAAAAAAAGTCTTTATTGATTTCAGAGAGAGGAAAGGAGAAGGAGAGAGAGACAGAAACACCAATGATGAGAGAGTCATTGATCGGCTGCCTCCTGCACGCCCCCGACTGGGGGTCGAGCCCGCAACCTGGGCTTGTGCCCTGACCGGGAATCGAACCCTGATCGCCTGGATCCTAGGTCGACGCCCAACCGCTGAGCCACACCTGCTGAGCTGCACCACATGTTTTAAAGCTTTAGTTTTTTAAGCAACAAGTTTCATAGAAATCACCTCGAGGTGTGTGACCTCATTGCTGGAGACGTAACTTCCGAAGGCCAGTCTGACCGGGGAGCGGCCGTGGCTCCGAGTCAGGCTCCGGTTTGAACCGGTGCCCGTATCCCAGTCAGAACAGGCACTTTCTACGTTGGTCAGGTAATTAACTGGCATTGTTTCCCTGTCACATTTATCTGGCGGCGTGAACTCAAGGAGATGATGACGGTGGTACTTGGAAAGTGTTCCGGAAGCTCCTATTCTTCCGTTGATGGGATGAGCTGCTCTAACGTGCTCACCAGTTTATTTAGTGAGTAAAATGACTGCTTAACGGTAGAGCCCAAAGTGTCTTCCCAGACGTGCGGCTTCCCTGCCGTTCGGGACGCAGCGGGGCTGGTTGGAAAGTCCCCGAGTCGGCCGCGGGGAGAGGGGACGTGGCTCCCTCGCCCAGGTTTGCTTCTTACTTGGTGAGGCTGAAATCCAGGATTACGGAACAGACCTCCTCTTCCAGCTTCTAGGGAGTGGGCGGTTTCGTGTTTTAGTGAAATATGAGCGTCCGAGGATGAGCCTGCTCCACTGAGGTGAGGCTGCCACGGAGGACGTGCTCTTACACCCGGAGCAGCGCAGCGGACGAGAAGTGCGCTCGTTGCAGGAAATGTGCAAAATGTAGAAGAGCACGTGGTAATTTTTCTGTGAGCATTCAGCGGCATTAGGCACGGTCACATTGCTGTGTCGCCGTCACCACCACCACCTCCAGAGCTTTCCCCCTCCCCAAACTGAAACTCCATCCCCATGAAGCAGCCCCCCAGCCAACTCCCCCCACCCCCAGCTCCGGCAGGGCCCTCGGCTCTGTCCCTGTGAACCCAGGGACTCCAGGGACTCACGTGAGGGGAGTCACAGCGTCCGTCCTGTGCTGCCACGTGGCTGGGCGGTGTCCTCGGAGCCCGTCTGAGCGGCAGCAGGGTCCGAGCTTCCTTCCTTGCGGGGCTGAGTGATGTTCCGCGGTGTGGAGGGACACGTTTATCCCCCCCGTCGACCGCACTCGGGGTGCTGCCCCTCGGGTCCTGGGAGCAGGGCTGTCCGGGTCCCCCTCTCAGGGGTGGGACGTGGGTCGAGTGGTGATTCTGTGTTGTCGTCACCACACTGGTGTCCATGGCGGTGGCCACGTTTTCCACCCCCACCAGTGGGGCGCCACGGTCCACGTCTCCCCGTCTCCCCCAGTATCTGTTATCTCCTATTAAATGTGTGAAAAGACAAGTTTAAAAACATGTTAATTTGTCAGAACTTCTTTGCCTGTTGTTGAATAATCTTCAACAAAGTAATTTTAAGTGCCCTCCCCCCTGCGGTTCGACGCTCGCCTGGTGTTTGTGCCTCGGGTGTGGGAAGCGCTCTCCCTCCTTTTCACATTGAGCTGTGGGTCCTGCGAGAGGACATCGAGGCCCCCGACCCCCCGGCCCGGCCCGGCCCCGGGGAAAGGGCTCCCGCGGCGCAGTGGGCGGCCTGCTCGCCGAGCGGCCTTTGGCACAGCTCGCTGCCCTTCCCGCGCCAGCTTTGCCGCTTTGTTCAGGGGTGTGGAAAGGTCTTGCTGCTAATAGGTGTTAACGCTGTAGTGTCTGTTGTCTTAACCTGCAGGAAATGAAGTGAAATACGATACGAACAATAACGAAGAGGAGGAGGGAGAACAGTTTGATTTTGACAGTGGAGACGAGGCCCCGGAGGCAGACAGAGGGGCCCCGGGCGCCCCCGAGGCCGGGCACGCGGGCACTGACGCCGCCTCCACCGGCTCAGGTGAGTCCCAGGGAGCCCCCCACAGACCCACCCTCAGCGTCCTGCCGGGGGGCACCCGCTGGGAAGGGGTCGTCCCGAGCGAGGGTTGTGCCGTTCCTGCAATTCGGTGGGAGCTGAAGCGACTTCACATAAACGTGGCCGAGTTTCTTTTTTTTTTTTTAATATATCTATTAATTTCAGAGAGAGGAAAGGAGGTAGAGAGAGAGATAGAAACATCAATGGTGAGAGAGTCATTGATCGAACCTGCAACCCGGGCATGTGCCCTGACCGGGAATCGAACCCCGATCGCCTGGGTCCTAGG